TACACAAATTTGGCTTCTAAGCTGGATCTGCGAAATACGGTAAATCTTGTTACATGCCTTCAGAAGTAATGCAGTCCCTTCTTCCTGACATGAAATAATTCCGTTCTCGATTTCATTCGACTCTTTCTACTCAATTTCTTGAAACATCCTAACCAGGTAGCATTGTTCACTTTTTCAACCTATTTGCTACCAGTACACGAATTTAGCTTCAAAGTTGTATCTTTGGAACACAATCCATTTTTCGTTTGTGCTTTCAGATGTATAGTGACTCATTTTGCTGTACTAGAAATCTTTCAGATTTCTTTTGCGTCTGACTCATTCTGCTCAACTCCGTGACACATTGTAACCGGGTAAAATTGTTAACTTTCTCAACAGAATCATTCTGATCTCGCAGACACTTTACTCGTTTGGCTCTATTCCGTGGCACATACTAACCAGGTAGCAGTGTTAACGTTCTCTACCGAGTTCCTTCCATTACGCCAATTTAGCTTCAAAGCGGGAGCTGTGGAACACAATCCATTTTGGTACATATTGTCAAAGGTATTGTGAACATCTCTTCCGTACTCGTGATCATTTCGATCTCGCTCTCATTGAAATCATTTGGCTCGTTTCCGTGGCACATGCTAACCAGGTAGCAGCGTCACTGAATGAGGCCATAGCCTCTTGTCGAGTTCCCTTGCCCATTAAGATTTTCCATAAGAGGCGAATGAACCAAAACTCCGCCACTGGCTCAACTGGAACATCACTGCTGCCTTGCAGTCGGCGCTTGGTTGCGCAAAGGCTAAAGTTCATTCTCAAACAAGGCCTACTCTGGACTGGGCGACCGAGTAGTACAATAGCCCACAACGCAGACAACTATGAACGTTCTCGCCCTGAGGCATTTGAGTATCCTAGGCTTCTCTAACTTTATGTTGGTCAGGTCAGGCCAGATAAGGTTGCACAGGACTGATAATGGCCACAGCCAATCGAGCGTCCACATTTCGTCCGGCAGCATGCTCACAAAGTGTGCACTCACCACTGCAAACTGCCTTTAGTAGGCGTCTTTGCTGAAAAGGCAAGGAAAAAGCTCGTCTCCTTTCATCTCATCGGGAAATAAGTTTTAGGAATAATAAAGTCGTTTTAGGATACATCAAATATCCTATTCTGGAAAGAGCTCCAGCCATCGCTCGCCATCACGCTTCCTAAATCTACTAATTCCTTTGGTAACAGGTTCGAACTGTTCATTACTCTGTTACTGAAGAAGCTGGATCTAACAACTAGGTTGCACCACTGCTTATGTCGTTTTTACCCGTTTCAACTAGTTCCTTGGTAGATAGCCTCCTGGAACATGCTCTGTTTCCTCAATCCCCAAAGACCTTTCACAACCTCAAAGGTCTCCAGTAAGTCTCCTCTTATTCTTCTGCTTCCTAGCGAGAAGAGTCCCAGGTGTTTCAGCCTGTCTTGGTATGACTTACCCTTTCAACATTCAACAATTTGGGTGGCTAGTCTTTGAAATTTCTCTAACCAGGCTGCTTTTGTTTTGAAGAAGGGTGCCCAAGCCTGTAAGCAGTATTCCAAGTGCAGCCTAACTATGAATTTGCACAGGGGAAGGAATACGTCGGGTTTCCCCACACGATAGTACCTACTTGAGCCTGAACAGCTCTCTCCTCGCCCTCGCCACAGCCAGTACACACTGGTTCTCCCAGCGGAAATCTGCCACCGATATTTACAAGTCTCTGCTGGTTCTTACAATTCCTGCGGTGAAACCCCTCCACCTAATTGGATTGATAATTGTTCATCAGCGTTGAAAAGTAAATTACTTTTCTCTGCGTTCATTTGGAGGTCCCGTACAGTTGCCCATTCCGTTTCTCTGCGCAAATCATCCTGTTTTCCCTTCTGTTGGGGAAATCGTTCGGATGGAGTAAGTGGGCGATCCCATGAAAGAAAACCGTCAAAATTCGGGAGTTTCCATTAGGACACACCACAATTTTCTCCA